ATATATTTACGACAGCATGCGGTCATAGGTTGTGTGCACATCTAATAATGTACTGGTTGAGTTTATCTATACTGTACATAAATGAATCAGTAGACGCATGTTGGTTAATTGGTTTCAAGCTATCTCACTGTCGTCAGGAAGTTTCCACTATGGGTTTTCCAAGTACCTCCAACAGCCACATAGATCTGCATAACTAAACACAAATAAAAGGAAGGTTTTTCCAGATATCTTTTTCCTTTCACTCTCACGAACTCCAAACAGGGTCAATGGCGTCCACGAATGAGGAGCTTTCATTTCTGAACGCGCACCGTCACTAGTCACGTACGCACGCGGCTCCACGCGACCCAGACCCACGCAATACACACAGTGTCGCGGCGCTCTCTTCTGTTTGCCCACCCAAAAACAGCCAGGCGCGCTGATGGCTTTGATGATCCAGCCAGCTATCTTCTTTGTTCTGGCCAGCGAGTGTGCAGACCGATGGGTTAAAATAAGACCGGGTTTACTTAAAGCGTCTTAGGATGATGCTGGTTTTTGCATTTCTTAATTCCGTGACATGGTACATGACCTGAAATTAAATATTAGACCTTTTTAAGCTCCGTCCCCATCGTTGCCTAAGAATCATTGAATAGCATTGTATTCGTGATCGACGTAAAAGGTGTAAAATAGGTGTGATAATAAAATATGTATGTGTATAAGGTGTAAAAACGGCCTAAACAGTAGTACTCACCATTCTTCGGAAGACTGAGTAGGTAACGCGCCACATTAGCCCATTGTATCCGTGCCCATAGTGGCCAGGGGACAGAGGCAAGCATTGAGAGAAGATGGAGGGGGGGGGGGGGGGGCAAGGTTTCTCCAAAGCAATAAGCTACGCTCACGCAGCCCGTTGTGCGCACTTCAGTGCACAGTAGACCAGATGGCAACCACTCAGCAATGCTCTACTGCCGTGCCGGACACATCGCACCGCACCAAGTCACTGACCCCAGGTCACCAACCGCGGGTCAGTCCGGGGTCAGCGGATCATCCGCGCCAGGGAGAACGTCAGCGGCAGTGCAGTCCAGAAGTACTCTCCTCATACATACATACCGTTCGCGTCAATGGACCGCACAACTCCATCAGTCGGAGATGTTGACTACTCTGGACACCCACGCCGAAGCAAAATGTCATTTTTCGGTTGCAATAATATAAAACATCAGCAAAACATTTCTAATTGAACGAAGAAAACCAAATTTTGGTAGCTGCGTCGAAATTTTGCACTCGAGCGAGCAACCTCTTACTGTGGTACGTGCAGAGCTTATCTCCCAGAGGATCCACGCAGGCGTTGGTAAATCCGCTCGCCGCAAATGGGTGCGCGATGCACGTCAAACCTTACCGCATCCGGGATTGAGTACTGACATAACGGACAAGGCACTGGGCATACCATGGGTCAGATCGTGACTGAAGGAATCCAAACGCGTGCGTAAATCACGCGGTACAAAAGTAAGCACGCAAACCGCGTGTGGGTATTACGTGTTGCGTGTCGCAATACACAAACACACACACACACACACAACACACACCACACACACACCACACACACACACACACACACACACACACACACACACACACACACACACACACACACACACCACAATGCCACACACACACAACACAACACACACACCCACACACACACACACAACACAACACAACACACACACACACACACCACACCAAACACACACACAACACACACACACCCACACACACACACACCACACACACACACACACACACACACACACACACACACACACACACACACACACACACACACACACACACACACACACACACACCACACACACACACACACACACACACACACCACACCACAACACACAACACAACACACACACACCAACACACCCACAACACCACACACAACACACAAACACACCACACACAACACAATATATATATATATATTATATATATATATATATATATATGTATATATATTATATATATATATATATATATATTATATATATATATATGTTGTGTGTGTGTGTGTGTGTGTGTGTGTGTGTGTGTATGTATATACTATATATATCCTTGCAGTGCTGCACATGCACGCTTCTGCGTCGCAGTTTGAGGGCCAGTCACGACCTAATTTTTACGGTGTACAGCCGATGTAAAAAAGAAATGGGGATGCCCCTAATGGAAGCGCGACAATAAGTGTCTGTGCGCGTGTGGTCTGGGGCGAAGAACACCTGCTCTTGACCAGCCTAGCCCTCCGGCTACCGGTCCTGACCTGATCTTTCGGTCCTGACCATGACCTGGCCCAACCTGACCTGACCACACAGCCCGCGGGCAGGACCGTGCCGCGGAGCACGAGGAAGGGGTTGGAGCGGTGTCAGCATCACCAGAATGGCTGCACTTTGACACCAGGTCCAGGACAATGCTTGGAAAAATTGATCGATAATTTTGGAATAATCACGTGAGCCCATTATTGTTCCAGAAGTAACGTAAAAGATCGGACGCATGAGTCCAATGAATTCGCGTTGTCGAAGAGTTACAGCCAAACTTGTTTAAAAATCGCATCACCGGCCTCGAGGCGTTGTTCCACTACAGGCTTACCAAATTTTGACACCCACACGGCCCGACCGTACCCGATCGGCACCGTAAGCCGAGCCGGTCGGACCTTGCGGCCGTCTCCGCCCACCAGGCCGGGCCAGGGGCTCCCCAAACGGAGCGGGCGTCGCCAACATTCCTGCAGTGGTGCGTCAGCCCACTGCACGGCACCACACCGCGCATCCTTGAGCTGGGGCGAGACGGCAGTGGCCTCCCACGGCACGGCACCACACCGCGCACCCTTGAGCTGGGGCGGGACGGCAGCGGCGTCCCGACGGCAGCGCGCTAGCCGGGAGACGGCGGAGACCGCCGCCTCGCGCGCGGCACGCTCAGAGGAAGTGGTGACGCTGCTGGGGTGGTGCTAAGGGAGCGCGGATATAGCGCGAGGCGCGATAATCCCTGGGAGCGCGACTGAAGTCCCGCAAGTGCGCTTAGTCCATTTACGCTGCAAACAGGCCCCGTCAGGCGACGGGGCCTGTGGTTAAGCGCTTGTTGCGATAAGATTTGGGCGGGAGCCTATTCTTTTAATAAGATTATTATAACGCTGAAAAATACCACGGAGAATTTTCGATTCTTTTCGTGTTTCACCAGGGAATTTAACACATGAAGTCGCGGAAAATGAGGCAAACATGAATATGTCTCGTGCTTTATAGTTGTCCACCGAGAAAATACTGGCCATTCCAGCTCTGCGCTGACTGACCTTTGCCCTGGCGGCCAACACCAACTCGACCCGACCCGACCTGAGGGTAGCTCTTTGTACAGTGTCGCACAGAGCACGGAAGCGTGCTCAGTAAGGGCAATACAGAGATGCAGCTAGTGCGGGGCCTGCAGAGCGGACAAGCTATTAAATAAATCAAACATCCCATCCGGGGGCATTCACAAGACATCACCCTGCCAGGCATTTCTTTAAGCCGAAGTAATACGACGCCACCGCATCACGCACGCTCGCCAGAACTAGCAACAGTCGACCGACGATCAGCTTCAAGTCATGGCTGGGGTCTCTGCAAAATAAATGGGCCCGCTGTCACCCACGCGCGCATTAACACCGCTTCTTTACATTGGCGTTCGCGGAAGCCTCCCAAGGGCGTCAGGCCTGGACCGCAGTCAACTACTGTGTCATGACAATACTTATCTTTTCAACGGTGATACGGGGCGCCGTTGATGTTTTGCTTGCAGTTGCAAGTAATGCTATTTATCTCCCGCATAGGCTCGTCCTTTGTAGTTGCCATATGGTGATCAAAGTCATCTGTTTCTCCATACAGTTATGATTGCTAACTAGAACTTCAAACTAGGTTTAAAAACGACTTCCTGTTACCATTCGCCTTCAAATGTATGTGGCAACATTTCATGCAGAAGGAAAATGTCCCACAAGCCCATTGGTCCGCTGCCCGATCTGAGCAAGTTCTGGGATCCCAAGGTGGCCGACGTTCTACTCCTCAGCATGCCAGTAAAAAATATAATTTCCGTACACAATATAATTGCCTGACCTTCAGCCACGTCTAGTCTGCTTTACAAGCGTGCATCATTAGTTACAGTTAGATGTGGGCTTCAAGACTCTGGCGTTGTGCACACCTTAGGGCGGCTCACTAGGAGTGGTCCAATTTCACCAAATCCCCTGACGTAACTGACTACGTCATACGTTGCAAGAATGCAGCCCATAAGTCTCTTTAGCCCTCTACGGAAAAGGTCTACCAGAGAAAGCGAGTGGACGAAGGAAGCCTTCTCAACCCCTCTCTCTCTCTCTCTCAGCGCCACACATCAAATCGAGCAGTTTCCCACCACTTCCCCAGCATCTAATAACGCCACCACTTCCGCCGTCTGCTTCCCGGCTGGATGTCCCACGTCGTCACTTGGGTCGAACGTGAACCTCGCCGCTCTCATCAGGTTAGAATGTCTCGACCCCAAGACGAAATGGTCTGATCCACTTCAAGCACAGGACCAGCAGTGAGACCGATCTGTCCGCATCGAGGGACAGCACGGCGATGCGGAAACATGGTCCAGCGGGGTTCGGGGGTCCTGATGACGCCCTGGGGACAGCGCCCGGTCGCAGAGCGACAACCGCATACAAACGTCCAGCTAGACACGATCATGTCTCGGACGGTGAGACATCACTATCGCTCACCTCCAGTGCTGGAGACGCAAACTGACCTCAAAACGGTGGGAAGGTCACGCTGACCTGCACACGATGGCCCTGTCAATCCCTGATCTAGATGCGACGTGGGAGTTACTCACGCCTCAGCGCTGTAACAGTCACGCTTTTGACTGATTGACTGACCGACTGACTGGTTTTAAACTATTGATCGTTTTTTGATAGCCCCACTGATTGATTGATTGTTTGATTGATTTATGTATTGATTGCTGGCCTGATTGACTAACTGACTCACCTCGGCAATCTGTTCCACTAGCTGGTCCTGGCTGTGCATGGTGAGCGGTGAGCGCACTTCTGGAACAAACAGAACTGTGTGAGAACAGATGAAGACATGTGAGAACCGACGGAGTCATGTGAGAACAGACCGGACTATGCGAGAACATACGGGACTACACCAGAACAGACGGAGCCACGCGACAACTGACGGGGTTTAACGAGACAACTAAGCTCATACGGGGCCAGGTCAGAGCGGACGGAGCCACGCGACAACTGACGGGGTTTAACAAGACAACTAAGCTCATACGGGGCCAGGTCAGAGCGGACGGAGCCACGCGATAACTGACGGGGTTTAACGAGACAAGTAAACACATACGGGGCCAGGTAAGAGCGGACGGAGCCTTGCAAGACCCATCCAGCGGGGCTACGGGAAGACGTCAAAAGCTCCGCTGGGGCCCTCTGTACAGGTCCCGATCTGTCCGGGGATACGCCACAATACCACCAACAGCACCACTGCGGCGAGGTCCTGCATGACAATGGCTTATTGTGGCGCGGCGCTATGGCAGTGGGTGGCCAAGGCTGCTCGGTGGACTTGATAGCGGCGTCTCCAGAAGTGGCGACGCGAGCCCGCTCCTCTGACCTCGTTTACGGCACGCCACAATAGTGCGGCACCAGCCCGTCCGCTATTGTCACGCATATCGCAGACGCTCCCCAATGACAGGCCAGTGCGTGGGTGAGCGTCTGAAGGGAGCGTACTGGCGAAGTGACTTAAGATATGATTCGAAACATTATTTGACCATGCTGCATACATGCACCCATGTAAAAGAGTGGAAAATTAATGAAGAAAATTTTATATAAGAATGAAACGAATGCGCACTTATTTTCGGAAAAGACACAGAACAAACCTATTCAGCCTTGACACAAATTGTGGCGCATGAGCTGGCGGGAGTGGTATATGTTATACAATGATTGACAAAGATGGCGATTAAATGTTCTTCGGTAGGAAAAGCTGGATCAGCACCCACGAGCGTGGGAGCGTGACGATGACCTTGAGATCTAAGCGATAGTTTTGATTTTACATGCGTCCCCACACGATACAAACGTAATAGACGTACGTGAAAATGCAAAGGATGTTTGGAAGCCGTTGAAGCCTCGCTTCGCCTGAAAAAGTATGTTGAGGCCGCGACTTAAGCCTTGGACATATTAGTGACAACAATGCGCTTTCCCTGGAACATTCATTAACAGGAAGCTTGGCTGAGGATATTGTCAACCAGCTATCGCTAACCCAACTGCACATAACTGCATTGTGGTCGGATTATTTGTCCAGGACCTATCTGAGATCCCACCGCGGCACCTTGTGGCTTACCTCACGAGAGCACCTGTTACGGTCAATGAGCTCTCGGGATGGATCTGCACGCAGCAGAACGGAACGTTTCACAAATATGCAGATTTACGTACAATGCCAGCGTTCAGTTCATTACCAGCGTTTTCGGGTGGCTGGTATTAAACCATGGAGTTATCGCTGTGGAACGAGCAAACACAAGACACGGCGACATTCATGTAATTCAGATTATTTTCGCTATTATGGAAACAACGGCCCAGGGATGATTGGCATCCCAGACCAACTTGGGTCTCCATGGGATAAAATACAGCAAAGGAGCAAAAGGATCGGGCGGAGCAAAAAGTCCACCAGTAATCACTCATTACAGTCACTAATTTTAGCGCCTTTGGCCGATGTGACAGCAGTTGTGGCGAGTTTCATGGTACGGTGTTCGGATAGCAAAGCTGTCTTGACGACAACTGTTAGAATTGAGACGGCTGTTCCAATTTTAAAGCAAACAACAGCTGACTCCGGAATATTTTGTTTCCGGTTCCTTAAATTGTTACAAGGCATGAACGGCTGGAAGAGCCGTGCAAGCGTCATTGTTGCTTAGCCAGATACGACTATTACCGAAGAAGACTTTCCTGTTGAAGGACTTAACACAGGGCAAGAAGCCAACTCTCCCCGACACTTTTGAGAAACGGACAACGCCCTCGCTCTGTACGACACAAACGGTTCAACATTTTAAGTTGCAACTTTTGACCAATTAAATGAGATGAAACCTGTCAGTGAAAAACCTGTAAAACCTGTGAAAAGGAGATGATCTGTCGACTGAAAGCGATGGAAGATTGCCATTTCTGGCCACCGCGATTCTGGCCAACATCACCAAAAGTTCTGTTGAGTTTACGAGTGTTGGGTTAACGATATTCAATGCGCCAGGAGTTGCTGGTCAAACAACATAATAGTGCTATATAACGATTAAAATGACTACCGAATATTTCCAGCCGTGCGTATCCTCAAGGGCACCGCTCGGATATTGAGAACAGCTCTTGAAGATGAGCACAGATGGAAATATTGAATACCGCCAATATAATCGCCATTAAGCATCACAAAGCCACTTCACCCGCGCCTCCTGGAGTGTTGAAGGTCGTTTGCTCAACATAACTTCCAACTCTTAATGCCGAAAAAAAACCGGGAGCTGAATTGCCTTATAACAATCACAAATACTTCAAGTCCGTTCACAGTCCTTTACCTCCCATCCCCTACGCCTTTGCAAAAGTAGCCGTGCATTGCACCACTCCTAGCGTACGTAACCACGCGGCCAGAGACACGACTAGCACCGTCCGCGTCTCTCCCCGCCTCGTCGTTCTCTTCGCATGGGCGGCGTCCTCGGCACGCTTCGTGCTCGGCTGGCGGCGCCCTTGGGGTCACGCGGGCAGCATCGCCCCTGGCGCTTCACGGCGAGACGCCGGCGCCGTGCGGTAACACGCCGGCCGTCTGGGACGCCAGCGGAGCGGCACGGCGCCCGCTCCGGCAGCCTCCGGGCCGCGGTGGCGGGCACGCCGCATCCCCGCGCGCTGGGGCCGAGACGGCATCAGAGAACTCGTGCGAATCAACAGGGTCGAGCGGAAACAGGCGGTGAGAAGCGCGGAACGTCTCCGCCGGTTGGGCGGGCGTGGGCGTGGCCACCGCCAAAACGAACGGAGCGTGGAGCTGGCTGCGGCTCGGCACTGCGGTGGGGTTGTCGCCGGGCGCCGCTCGTCGCCATGATGGACGAGATCTGTCGCCGAGCGCAGCACGCCGGCTCACGGCTGACAGTCACGTGAGGGATCACACTACAGGACGCGCTGTCGCAAGACGTGTGCACTACAACAGCGTGACGGAAAGGTCACGTGATGGATCGGTCGACGGCTGCTGGAGGCTCCACGCCAAGGTCACGTGGCATGACCTTCCGGCCGTCATAACGTGGCGGACCGCGTCGCGGTCGTGGGCGCCGCTTGCCGGCTCCGTCCGAAGCGGCGTGATCAGCGGGCGGGCGTGGCACTGCGAGTCACGGCGCATGCGAGTGACACGCGTACGTCTTCCGCACCCCGAACGCAGTGACCGTGTCGACTCCGCGAGGCTTTCAGAAGCTCGCCCACTGAACGTGGATTAGAAACCTAAGCAAGTGTGTTGGTTGATAGGCTATGCCACGTGATGAGTGTGTGGGCGATGCTCTTCGTGACCAAGCTGAGCACAGAAGAGCATAGGGTCACCTCAGTCATTAAGTGGGCAGCGAAAAAAGAAATGCGTTATGGATGTAACCTAATCCGCAGACGAATAAGAAAACGTTCACGCGAGAGGTGGCGCGTAATGATACACGGCCCACAAGTTTTAGGCAAAACAGCGCTTGAGTTCACCATGCAGTGCAGCATCAAGGCATGACGGCAACACGCTCCCACACATACTCGCCGATCCGTTGAAGACCGTGTGCGGACGAGGAGTGGCAATGCCGGAGCTCGATACGGCAATGTTGTGACAGTGAGCTCACAGCAATCGCTTAAGGGACGACTCCAGCCTAATGCACCCTGTCTAGCGGCGTGTCATCCCCGAAACGCTGCCGGAGTGGCGCTGGCGCACCGAACAGCTGCGCGCTGCACCAAAAGTGGCATCACCAAAGAGCTGCAACTCAGATCGCCAACCCATCGACGTAGCCTGCCACGCCCATTCCTCACCATCATTCTGTGGACTCAGTGTCGTGTCGCTGGACAATATTCGCTGGCCTCTTGGAACCGGTCTTCACCGTTCAACACGGTTACCGGCCGCCACCGCGCGGCACCCCCTAATTGTGGCTGGCCGGTGTCGCCGGTCCGTCTGCCCTTGAGCACCGCCAGGGAATGTGAGCTGCAGTAAGCTGACGACGCCTCGGCTTTGCAATTTTAACAACTCATTTAACATATACGCGAGCGGCTAGAGTATGCTTGTTGCTGCATGGCAAACACTCGGCGTGCACCGAAACGGCCTTGAACACAAAGCGAATGAAAGCAGACCTTGTTGTCTATACCTTGCGCGTCATTTCGTAATCAACATCAGCGCGGGTACAAATACGCTTTCAACTCCCGCTAATTCTAGCCAGACAGAGTGCAGACGTGTTCTTCCAGTCACAAAGCGCCACAACGCTATCGGCCAACACAGTCGTGTGTCAGCTTAATTTGCATCTGAACTTTGTACACCGGTCGGCTCGACCTGACACAAGTACCGCGGAACCGACCTGACACAAGAACCGCAGAACGCAACTAATGTGGCGCTGGATTCAAAGCGCTGCATGGATGGAATTTTGAATCTTTCGAGGAACCTACCTCCATGATTGTTAGGGCCACGTGATACTGTGGGGCACAAATCCCGCAACTACTAAAAACCACAGGAGCCGGCTGTGAGACTAACGTTTTGAGGAATGTAGCTTTGCCACCTCCACCCAATTAATTTCACGAAGCTCCACCTCTTGTCTGTCATATGGGCCGTGGCATGTGCGAAAGCGGGGTACGCTATCGCCGCACGTGTGCGGCGCCAAACGATACCATCTATGACGTCACTGAGCGCACGATAACTCGCCAACGTGCACGTAGCGGCCGTGGCACTGACATCACAACTCTGACGTCACTGGGCACAACATAACCCACTAACGTGCACGCAGTGGCCGTGGCACTGACATCACAACTCTGACGTCACTGGGCACAACATAACCCACTAACGTGCACGCAGTGGCCGTGGCACTGAC